ATGTAGTTATTTGGCTTTGGGGTTTTTTCTACATTCATCTTTGGACACAACAAAATTTAAGTGTCTGGAAATCCATTTGTCCTTGTAGATGCTTGGATCTCTTAATTTTATTTCTGTTCCCATTTTTCCTCTTGGGCTGGGCTAACGTCACAAAATAGCAGGTAGAATGTGGGGGCACAGGTTTGACATGTGGGGGCACAGGTTTGACAATGTGCAGGTTACAGAAGATCATTAAAACTGTATGTGACTGTCAGACCAAACATACAACTAGTCACTGGCATAAAACATTCCCTGGAGACTTAAAATTCAGTAGAACTGGATCAGTGGAAAATTGCAGCTTTCCATATGTAAACACCAGCAGTCCTTAAGCTTAAGAAGTATTGCTAACATTGAATTTTCAGGCTTTTATTGATTTGGACCATTCTTCAAACAGGTAACATCACTTGAAATAGGAGTTTTGGGGTGTTTTTTTTTTTTAGCTGCTAAAGAGACATGTATGAAATTTTTAAGAAATCAGGTAAAACTCAGAGACCAGACAGTCTGTTACCTGAGAGTATTAGGAAAAAGTAATTCAGTGTCCTGCCATAGGGTTTTTTTTCTGTTATATGCTGTATCTTGTCATACTTTTTTTCATACCACTGAGAAATACAAATGATCAGTAAATCATATTATTTCTACATCTATAGTATAATGTAATAATCACAATAAATTACTTTTCTAGTACCAGACCACTCCCAGTATCTCTCAAACAAGAACATTAAAACCATAAAACACTGAAATGTTCAGCAGATAAAATGTGAAGAAATCATATAAACAATAAACACTAAATCACAGTAGCAGTATAAAAATGGGGGGGAGAGGGGGGAAGCCAGTACCCCTTTATCTAAAGAGAGTGTCTTTGTTTTTCTCTGACTGAAATAAAACCTGTGGTGGTGATAAGATACAATTTTATTCAAGCCTACTATTGCTTAAACATCTTTTGTGGCATTTGTGTGAAACTGGCGTTAAGTGCACTTAAGCAGGGAATGCTTTCTGAAAGCTTTGGGATCTTGGGATATTTTCAGATGAAATATTACAACCTATGAAACAAAAATCCCAGTATTTCTTCCTAGGCTAAATTTCATGGCATTTCAGAGCTCTTTATTATGTCTTGAGAAAACAAATTCTTCTTGTTTTTTAGATGTTGCAATGTTCTTCTCCCGCCTTCTTCCTTTCATGAGTAATTTTTAAACAATGGTTTTGTGTAAAGCAGTTTGGTCTCATTGAAGTGGCATTTTCAATCAAAGAAACGTTTTTGAAAGATGCAAGAGAATGTTCTCTTAATGGTCAGGTTGAACACAGGACGAGCTGAATTTGGTCAACGTATGGGAAGTTGAAATGAAAAACATTTAAAAAATAAGTAATATGCACAACATAGCACTTCATAGCTGTGTTTATTGTGTGCCTTCGATTTTTATTTTTAGTTCCAGCATTTCATGAACTGAAGTGCACATAAGGAGGGTTTATATGCACAGTTTTCCTGTGACTATAGGATGATCAGTAGCTACCAGGGTAGTCCAATAGGATAGACAGTGAAAGATGAGGGAAACCATCTCCACTGCGGATGTGTTTTATTACTTAGTATCTCTGCCTAGGTCATTTAAACTTCATCTCTCAGCCTGTAAAGGAGGAATACCAGCACTTCCATAGCTCACAGAAGTGTGGTGGAGTGCTGGTAAGAGACTGTGGCAGAGGAATCACAGTAATAGCAGTAATAGGTTAACATGGTCAGCTTGGTTGCCCTTTGAGGTGGTGGAAGATGGTATGTTTCAACCTGTTACTGCTGTGGTAAAGAAACTGAAGTATTGAACTCGGGCTTATCTGTTGATAAAGGTATTGCAGCTCGCTTACAAGAAGCCTCAAATTCTTCAGTTGGGAGTTCACAGCATTTAAAGCTTTAAGCCCATATCCATCCAGATCTAGCAAACAGAGATTGATGTTTCATATACTGATTGATTTCTAGGAGGCCAATGATAATTGATTAGCATTTTCACAGTGCTTATTCTATCATGTTTAAAGCATTTAGGGAATAGTATGTATATCATGTAAATCGATGGATGCTGTCATGAGGATAAACAGAACAGATAGGAAGGTACTACACAGTTATTTATTCTGCAATAATATAATTTTAAACTTTTCTGTTAAGAATATGTGAAATATAAAAGAAGTCATTTTCCAGATAGTAGTAGAGGGAAAATTTTGGTGACTGTAGTAAGCTGTTTAAGGCTTTTCCATCTTTAATCATATAATTGTGAAACACACCAAAAAAATATGGTTTTAACAATAAAGGTATGTAAGAGTTTGAGGGCTTCATTACCTTCTGTTGGGCTATCTGGTAGCCAAGGATTGGGATAGGTTGCACAGCAAGGCTGTGCAATCTGCATCTGGAGTGACATTAAAAGTTACAGCTGAGCAATAAGCAGCCAGATCTAGCTCTGAAATTTGCTGTGCTTTGAGCAGGGAGTTTAGGTGATTTTCAGGGTCGTTGCCAGCTTAATTCACTATGATTGTTTGTGGAAAACCTCTTCCACTTCTGTACTTCATAAAATTTTCCTCAACCTGCTCTGAACTCAGATTTTATTGTTAGCACTTTGTACTATAAATGATGAACACTTTTAGAGCTGTTTAGTCGAGCCATTTTCTTTGTGATTGTATTTGACTGCAGAACCTCTACAGCAGAGCTACTAAGACCTTGTGCAATTCAAGGGAGGTTTGATTTGCTACTTGTTTTTCAGTCAAGCCTCTTGAAGTAACTTTTATTGAAGAAATAAGCCATCTTACAGAATTCATATTTCTTCACTAATGTGCCATCTGAAGAGCTCTTCAATTTTACGGTATAACAGAATTGACTGCTAATCGAACAGCATTATTTGTGGTCAAAGATAATCATGTGCACTTGCAGGATTGCACTTCAGTTTTGGGAAGAATTCTGTGATATTTGTGTAGGTGGGGACCTCAGAATTTCGCCTGTGGCTCTGCAGATGTTGCTATCCCTTTCTTTTACATTGGATCTTTGCTTTCAGCAATTATTTGGAGCATTGAAGTGTGAAAACACAGGTAGTAACATGCCTAGAAGAATTAAAGTGCAATTAGCAATGGATGCTACTCAATAAGCATGGGCATGCTGGCAGCCAGTTAGCGCATCAGTAGTTTGGAAGCAGTCAGTGTACTATTTCTGGCTCTATTGGCATTTGGTGAACATGGAAAAAAGATATGGATGGTGGTGGAGGATATGCAGATACAAGAGCTACTTGTGTTTTGAAATAAGCAAAGATCACAGGAAGAAAAGGGGATCATCACAGGAGGGTGAGAAGACTAAGGAGACTGGAGAGACAAGGCAAAAGGAATGGAAGCATAAATATGTAAGAAAAAAAAACTTCATTACTTTTGGTGCTCAAAGAACTTTAGTTTTAACTGATAGAAGCTACTCAGAAAGCAGTGATGTCCTCTTGTGCATGTGATGCAAAACTGAGGTAGAGATGTTTTTTTGGTTTGAACTCCTGAAGCATTGTTGATTTTAAAAATGCTGTTCTTGTTTATGCTGGCAGATCATCTGTCCTCAAAAGCATTCCCACTCCCTGTATGCTACAGTACTGGAAAATTTTAATTGCACTTGTTTTTTCATTAGCATCTCTTGCTTGCTTTCATCAGGAGTAACATTTTCCTTTTTCTGGAAGACTCAAGACCAACAGGCTAAGTTTCTCCCTGCCTCTGGTGGACAAGTAATTTCCAGTGGCTTCAAAATCTGTTCAAATGAAGCTGAAGGCTCAGTAGAATTTTACACCCGTGGAAACGCGATGATGAAGTGGAAAGCAAGCTTTAGTCCACCAGGTAAAGCTTATTTTATTTTTTTATTAATTTGTTGTGGTATTTTACTTTATTCTTGCACAGAGATGTGTTGGTAAGAGCACAACTTCAGGAAAGAGAAGCGGATATATAAAAATAGCTGTAGAGCTCTGTGCTTAGGAGTTCTCTTGATGGGGGGAGAGAGATTAAGTATGAACTGAAAAACCAGTGATACTGTGTTTATAGAACATTTACTGTTTGGTAACAGTACTCAGACCCAACTTCTGGTTGTTCCTGAAGTGGAGTTCTTACTGACATCAATAGATTGAGTGCTTAGATGGAAACATGAGTGAAGAATCCAGGTCAATCCCTGGCAGTTCTTGGTATATTCTAAAACTGGGTACATGTGCTGTCCCCTACTGCCTCCTCAATTAAGACTTTATTTGGTAACTACCTAACTGGGTGTTCGGTGCTTTGGTCATTTTGCTGTCTGTTGAGTGTCAAGTTCTGTGCGCCATGGCATAGTAGTAATAAACGTTTTGTTATATCACACGTCTTACTGCTTCTATTGTTGAGGAGCAGTAATACCTAGTGACTGGAACAAATTCTAGTCTTCTAGTAATGCCAGTGACAATCACTAAACTTTTTCTTGCCTTAATTTGACTACCTGAGCATTGGTAAAATAGGACTTTCTCATCCTCCAGTAGCAGAATTTTATAAAGCCTGATAAATCAGTTTAGAAATCTTATTTTAAGATAAAAGTAGCTAAGTGGTAGAATAATTTATGTATTTGTGGATTATCCAGTCCAAGTGAAAATTAATACTATGTTTTTAGCACTTTAAGTATAACAGAGAAACACTGACAATTTTCAATTAACCTATTTGCTTGTTCTCCAGTTTTAGCAGTCATTATGCAGTTCTTGCTGAACTGTGTTTTGAGACAGAATTGAAGAGGCTTTAAATCTTGGCCAATAATACTTTGCAAGTATAATTTATGAAACTGCAGTGAGCCCAAAAAGAGTTCAGAGCAAAGCTAGCGGGCATTCTGCCAAAGTATGGGCTTCCCCATGGGTATAAAGATTAATATACATGACATCAGCATTCCATAATTCACTTTTAGCACTTCCTATACAGCTCTATAGCATTGCACAAGTCAGCAAAAACACACTGAACAGGAAAGACTCTAAATGGAATTGATTCATGGGTTTTGCTGTGATTTTTAATGTTTTGCAGGTCCTTATTGGACTCACATTCTCTTTACTTGGAAATCAAGGGAAGGACTGAAAGTCTACGTCAATGGAACTCTAAACACAAGCGATCCTGATGGGAAAGTCTTCTATGATTATGGAGACCCCAGTGCAAATCTACTGACTGGGACAGAGGGGGATCAGACCAAGCGCTATGTGAATGGAGCATTTGATGAATTCATTATATGGGAAAGGGCACTCACCCCCAATGAAATTGAGCAGTACTTCACAGCTGCTGTTGGTGAGTATGTGCATGGTTGTCATAATTAATGTTCTGTAAACATGTTGACTTAAAAATGCTTAGTGTGTAGGATTTGTGTTCATTTTGCATCTTTTGGCTATTGAACATAACTTTTAGAGGCAGATGTCATGAGGTATGAATGTCACCAAGGCATTCAGCTGTCTTTGACTGTGCAGTCTTTTCATCCTGGGTTCTAACTCCTTAAAAATGCCGTAAAAAAATTACCGGGACCTGAAGTATCCAGCCGTTGTTAGATCCCCTAGCATCAAGAGAAGAGGAGCAATAATTAGACTTGAGGCAGAGCAGTATTAGGAAGGACTGACTCCAAACTTCTATCTTGCACTCTGGTTGTTACGTAGCTTAGAGCCAAGTGACTCAGTGTGTTCCAGCAGATGTGGATAATAATGGTTATCTCTCCAGTTGCTGGAATGATAAAGACTTACTAACTCCTGTATGCCTGTGAACTCAAAGAGATCAGCTGAAATGTCATATAAAAGGCAGAGGATCCGGATTAGAACAAAGACTTTGAAGACTGGCCAGTAAACCCTGCCAGTTGTTCTATGGATCTTTCTAATAAACTTTTCAGTACAAGAAAGCCTGTTGCTACTAAGTGCTTGTGTATGAGTAGCAGTTAGAAAACATCCATCTCGGGGAATAAAGCTATGGGGCATCTGGAACATTTGGCTTTGCTGGCAGTTTCCCTGCTTTCATTTATTCTTACTAGGTTACTGGGAGCTAAAGCGGTTACACCCATAACTCTTGTGCTTTTAAAACCATGGGAACCATTTTTACAATGGAAACTCTTTTGAATAACACATAACTTCTGATGCATGCCTGGAAATGAAAAAGTGCGTGTGACTTCCAGGTTTGGTTATAGCAGTCAAATTATATAAAAAAATATTTTATAAAAAAAGAAAACATAAACTAGTTTACATAGAACTCAAGTTGCTGGAAAAGAAAACCTTTTCTCTGGTATATAATGAAAGAATCATCATTTGCTTTGCTACACATTGGTCAAGTTCTTTAATTTAAAATCTTTTTACTTAAAAAAAATTATTCCTATGAAAGTATTTAATAATTCTGGTTGTGAGAGTATTCATTTGATAGAGCAAATGGCTTAAAAATCTTTAAAAAAAAAAAAAAGTTCATAATTCTCTGGTCATGTTGGAAAAATGCTTTTGTATTTGGCTGCTGTATCTTTCACAACAATCTAGGGTTACTATAACACTATCCAACTCAAAGCTACCATAAATCACATCCTTTGATTTAGTGTAACTCAAGAAGAATGTTATGTTGCTAAACTCAAGAGCAGTAGATTTTCAAATTGACCTGATCTATCTACATGTGTGCCCTGTTTCACTGTCAGAGAAGTATGACTTATATAAATACAAAGAGAACTTTTTAACCCCTTGAATTCTTGTGAACTTGCAGCAACCATACTCTTCAGCATTCCATGCTCCCAGTTTCACTCGAACAAATAGTCAATGCATCATGGAAAGCTCTTGTTCCTGACTTCACTTTCTAGTTCTTTCCTCTGTACTTTGGTTTGGAAGAAGTCTTACTGGGGCTCAGAATATCTGTTAGCTGAATGTTTGTAGCTGGCTTTTGAAGTGCTGCAGGAAGAGTTGGGCCCTCTGATTCTGTTGAGGTCTAATTATTTAGTGTTGCATAGAACTGTTTTCTGCCTTTCAATTCGTGCAGATTTTTAGAAGGCTGTATTGCAGACTCCCAGATTTATACATTCAGAAGTTCATGCTGAGAGCTTTTGTGAGTATACTGCAAGTTGCATGACACCAGGGGGGTGATTGTTTGCTTGGGGTTTTTCTTCCTCTCTTACACCTCTAGTTCACAGGTTTTCAGGGTCATCTGGAACTATCAGTTCTCCGTGAAAAATAAATTTCTACCTGCTTAACTGAAACTGAAGCTTGATGTGTATTTTCTTTGGGCTTAGGAATTAAAACATAAGGGGATATCAGGTATATATATATTTGTATAAGTGATAAATTTCAAGCCAATATTACTTGAAAGTGCTCAGGTGATTTGGAGGACTTGAGAAATGTGGAGTGTTGCATTTTTTACTTTTTCCTTCGAAGTAGTGGATTATTCAGATATTACAAAATTTCAATTTGAGGGGTGAAGTTCAATGACTATTACAATACTAATCAACATAGCAAATAAAAGTTATTCTTGTATCTATTTATTGACTTTGGAGGACTTAAAGCACCACCGAAGCTGGGCTAATGTAGTTTGACATCAGAAACTTCATAGGACAGCCTGGCTTTTAATAGGGTGGGTAATCATGTTCCTTTTGGATCTGTGAGCAAAGTGTGTACTGTATAGGTAATTACTGGTTTATTGTGCTCCTGGCCAATATAAATTCTTGGTAAGATAGAGATTAGAAGAAAATTTTCATTCGTTTCTCACAAAGGATTAATAAGTCCCTTTGCATAGAAATGAATCAGTATTTTGAAAATGGAGCAACTGGAAACCACCCAAAATAGAGTTTATTCTTTTAGCCTTGACATATTGTTTATGACATGCTCATGTAGTAATTTTCAAGGGATATTGCGCTAGTGTGTGACATGGATTAGTAAAGCTATCTGATTAATATTGCTGATTATTATCTGATTAATAGTGACCTCACTGTTGCTTGAAATCAACTTAAACACCCAAAAGAGACAATAACTATAACATGCTCAAACTAGTAACAGAGGTTGTGTTTTGACCCATTACTTGCTTTATGCAAAACTGGCATGTCCCAAAAGCTGTAGTATACTGCCATTGCTATCCATGTTCTTTGATTTGAGGGTGCCTTAGTTTTGCTGCAAGCAGTGAAAGTATTGCCATTGGCTTTGAATATTTCTTACAGGTTGTCTTTTTTTTTTAATGTGGAGATATCTTTCTAATCATCGGTGTGATTTTTTTATTTGGTACTCAAGCAATTTAGACTTGAGATGTAAGTAAACATTTGCATTTGGAGATCATAGCTGAGACTTGAGTCTCATTTTTTCCAATGTTCGTATGCTCCAGTCCCAGTTTTTCGTATACAGAAATGCAGCAAGATCATGTATGAAATTGTCAGAGACGCCTACAGATTATTACTTATTTCTGATAAGGCACAGGATTTTTTCTTTTTTATTTTCCCTAAATGCTTTGCATAAATATTGGGGGAAGAGCTGGCAAAGGAAGATGGATGCCAATGTTTTAATCGTACAGTTTTCCCTTTTTATTGAGATATAACACTTGAAATTTTCTGTTTGCAAACGAAGGTTTAAGTGTTTAAAATAAGTGTTAAAATTGATGAATCACTACACAAAATGCATTAAACAAGCCTGCGTAGTTATAGTACCACACATAAGCAAAATGCACAGGGCAGCACGTATCAGATTTATTAACACTCGCATTTGTGTATGTGTTTTCCCTAGGCGTGCAAGTTCTGCTTTCTTCAACGCTTCCATGGTCTGTGATGACAACCACTACAAAACCTGAGGTAGGACAGTCCTCGGAACTCTTTATTTATAATGTCAGAAAAGGTACATATTGCAGAGCCTCCTCACTTTCATTAACAGCACTTATTTTAGTACCTAATTATAAATACTTCCAGATACTCACAAGGAGAACTTTAAGCAACTGTGGGCAGATGGGAGTGAGTACAGAACTCTTAATGTAAGACAGATAAAGCGAATTAATTGTTAAAAATATTACCTATATTAGCAAAAATTTCAATTATTTCCATAATTGAAGATAGTTCCATTTCTATATTAGAAAAAAAATGTAGATACTTCAGAAGTGTTTCATTGAAGATACAGGACATTCAAAAACATGTTGTGAACATTTCCTCTTGTTTCCTTTAAAACTGGAAAAAATTCTCACCACAGTAACAAAATTATTTTTCATCTGTTTAGTAAGTGTGTAATGAACACTGTTAAAATTAATTTTTCATATGCAGAATACATACAATTAGCTGCAATCAGCCTACGCGCAATTAGCTGTTGCAGTGTGTTTTTTCTTCATTGCTATCTGCAATGTCAAAGTTCTGTTAGTTTTCTTCGTGTTCTCAGAAGTTTTCAGGAAACCATGGCAGATAGGACCTGAATTGCTAATAGAAAAATTGAACTTTGCCTGTATATTCTGTTTATCCTGTCTATCTGTCTATCTGTGTGCTTTCCTTGTTGCTTGGTTTATGTAGCCTCCTCTGTCATCCTCCTCCACAGCAGCCTGCTATGCTTCAAACTCCCTTTTGGGCTAAAACAATTAACCACTGCCATATGGAATAATTTCTGATCTCTCCTGTAGCTCTCTACAAATGCCTATCATCCCATCATAACTAATCTGACTGAGGAGAGAGGGAACTTCCGCTCCCCCGACACCATGCTGGCCTACCTGGACAACGTGTCCTTCAGCTTGCCCAACAAATCCTTGTCAGAAAGTACTGCTCTAAGCTTAACAGAGGTAAGCGTTTTTCACATCTGTGAGTGGAGCCAGATAACCCTGAAGTTTCTCCAGAAGCTGGAATTTCAACTGCAGCTTTGAAAGTTTTTGGTGATTGCAGAAAATACATAGGAAAAAAGCAGTAGCTATTTTAAGGAGTAGCAGAAGGTGAACTTCAACCAGGGAAAATAGTTCAAAGATCTTCTTAGTTCTTGGGGGTATTATTTGATGCATTTGGGCCTCTTGCTACAAGATCCTGTAATCAGAGTAGTGAGAGAAGTAAAAAGGAGGCACACATACACTGATAGCAAGCTAAATAAATTAGATGTAGGGAGCATTCTAGTTGTGGCTGTTTTAATCTGGCCCTGGTTACCTGCCCAAGTATAATCTTTTAACTTCTTATCTTTTTGATTCACACCTGCACTAGAAGGTTAAAAAGTTACCAATTACTGCCACCTGCCCAACCTTCCATTAGCATTTATGGCTCCTGTAGTAAGCAGAGGGCAAGTTGTGCCTCTCCTCTGGCTTCTTTTTTGCCAAGTCATATGGCTGTTCTTTCTGGACTCGCAGGGTCAGAGGCACACATCCTGCTCTGCCAGCTCTGGAGTGAAAAGCTGGGGGAGAGGGCCTGTCTGTGCTGGTGGTGTCCTGAGCTTTTGTGAGTTAATAGCTTTATCTTGCACCGGGTTCCAATCACAGCCAGGAATCCTCTGCAGACATATTTCAGATCTCCCCTGAAACTGGTTCCTGGGAAGATCAAGTCCAAAGCTTAACTGAGTTAATTTATTTTTGTTTAAACTAATCCACAAAGTATGTGTGTGGGGAAGGTGTTTTTGGCAGTCTGAGCTGAGGACAAGAGGTCAGTTTTCTGCTAAGGTAAAGTTAGCCTTCTGTAAAATGGTGTACATCCAATTCCCTGATTTTGGCAGGCTAGAAAGCTATTATTACAATAATCAGCTCTGGCCTCACTCGTGATTGTTCTTTTAAGCCTGTGGGTAACACCAGGGTGACAGGGATTATTTACTCAGGCAAACAATGTAAATAAATGCTTTTGAAAACTACATGGACAGCAATAGATGGTTGATGGTTTGTGTTAAAAGCTTAACATTTGCAAACTGTAAAGCTTGGATTTCATGGATCAGTCTGATATGTTGCAAAAACCCTTCTAAAAAGCTCTAATACAATGTTTCCTTTGTTTTGCTGAAAATTTTGTGGGGGCTCTAAATTGAAAATGGAATATCATCCTGTCACATATCATACCTGTTTCCCACATCATTTCAGTTGCCGTTTTGTTGCTCATTCAAGCTATCTGATGCTGCTTTGTGTGCCATGAAAGTGATTTGCAGACAGAAATGTGGGACACGATTATCTTTAGCAAAGCTATTTTGGGAAGTAAAGACAAGAGAGTTCCGATCATACATACAGTCTCTGTCATTTGTCTGACTGATGGTTAGGCTTTGCATTGTCTGCAGCTAATTCCCTGAAAGAGAGACACTGAACACACATGCTGTTTTCAGTAAAGTTATTTGTTCTGATTGTCGTATGCCTCACAGCACAAGAAGATTTAAGTGATAGGCAGTAAACTTTCTGATTACTGACACACATTCATAATCGACTGCTTCTGACAAGTGTCTTGTGTTTTCTGTTATAATGCTGCTTTGCTCAGTAGCTTCCATGCTCCTGCTTTCCAAAACTCCCTTTCCAGTATCTAACACATCTTTTTTGGAGTAACTCGGGATGCTGTGACCTGAAAAGAGATACTCACTGAATGCTCTGGGCAGTCTGGGCTGGGTTCTCCGTTTAGTATGACTTCTGTGCATGCCAGGTAGAATTCCACACTGAATGTTTGAGAGGGGCTGCTTGGTTTGTGCTGCCCAAAAGTAAGCTCACATAGTAAAGCTCTAGTACTGCCCTATATATTACAGTTTGTAAACTCATGCTCAGAAAAGTCTTGCAGCTTTCTTTCACATTTCTTAATGGAACTTTTATATATTCTATTGATGCTTTTTAGACATTTTAACAGAGAAGTTTAAGCAGGAGATGTGTGTGTGTGTTTCTTTAAATTTTTTTGGGGTCCCTTTTCTCCTCCTTCTATTTGTCCTCAGCAGTGAGACTCTGTAAGACAGGGACTGTATTGCGCTGAGCATTTGAACAGTGCCCACTATGACAGATCTGGACCTCAAAACCAAGGTTCAAGTGCAGAAGTTAAGCAGATAATAAATTGTACAAGTGATGTGACCCAGGTATTTACCTAATGCTGTTGAAATATCTAGTCCTCTAAGGCTAAAAGAGGTATTGTTGTCATATGAATTTAGATAAAATGGGAGAAAAAGTTCGCTTTAGTCTTGGTTCCAGTGTTGTCACCTCAGCTGTAGTTTAGTGATTGCAGTTTCAGAGTTTCATAGTGGTGTTACTTCTAATAAATTATTACTTTAAAATGTCACTGAATGGAACACAAGAGTGCTGGCAAGTAGAGGTGAATCTGTCACTTGAACGAAAATGGGTTTGTAATCTTAAACCTCAGAAGATCCTAGCAGAAACTTGCCTTGGATCCTTACCAGGAGTTGTAGTGGATTAATAAATAATCAAATTAATATAGTTTTATTTATCTTTTAGGCATTTTTAAAAGCTATTGAAGACTTTATGTTGTTGCCCAGCTGGATTGATGTACCAGAGGTAAGACAAATAGGCTTAGATTCGTAGGTTAGTTCAGCTGCATAATTTCACATGGATAGTAATGAAATTGGCTGCTTGTATTATTAATCTTGTTAGTGCTTTTTTTGCCGTATCACTTACTTATTTTCTCACGTGTTACTTTCATATTTGCAGTAAAGAACCACAGACAAAACAATGATGTAATTTTCTTTTTTAATGTGTTTTTGAGGGTTGAAATACGGGAACTTTATCTGCTGCTTTTTAGCCTAAAATTCTCGGGAAATGGCTTTATACCAGGGGCAATTTATGTAACATTTTATGCACTATGTGTGGAAAAGGTTGTGGAGAAAGTCACATTTGACTTTGGGTGGTTGAATGATGAGTCATGTTGGAATTCAACATGGCACCTTCGCATTTTGTGCTATGAACTGCATCTTCTTTTGTTATAAAGCCTTCTATTTCTTTTTCCTACAGACTTCTTATATATTTGGAAGTCTAGTTCAAACTATTGACAGTGTGATGGCTCATATGACATGCAATCTGGATGAAAACTCCTTAACTTCAATGGTTGAGGGCACATCAACTTTTTTTTAATGTTCTCTCTGGAGTGCGTGGGTGTCCTAAATGCTGCTGTGCTTTGTAGCCCATCCTTAGCCAACATTAAGGAGGAAATTGAAACAGATAATTTCCTATTTTGAATGCAAAATAGTGTTTAAGTTGTAGAAAGATGACTGTGTAGTTAGTCTAAAGGTGATCTGCTTTGACTGTTCTTGAAATTCCTTGAGGTTACTGGGGAGGGGTTTGCAATATGAATTCCATTAAATCAATCTAGTAATACTGTACTAATAGGCAGTTAAAGGGCCTAGAGCTCCTAAGCAGCACTCTGAAGCTGCAGCTGCCTGAATGCTACAAAATCTTAATTTTGCAAGGTTTCTGCAAGAGATTGAAAATAGTAGGAATAGCTTTGACCTTTTAGGATGATTTTATTTTACTGCTGTTTAGCATCCTAGCACTCTAGTTTCATCTGTGTCTTTGGATGCTACAGGTAACAAAGGTAATTTATCTGTCCTGGCATTCTGCTCTGCCTGTTGGGGCTTGTGTGATGAGGCAAATAACCTGAGCACTCACCAGTACCATTAATGTATGGTATGTACTGTCTTGGATACTGGCATTCTCAGATGGAGCAATGGAGATCTGAAATAATACCTTCAAATGTCAGTGGAAGAGTGTGTTATCAGTCTGCTTTGCTTGCCCTGGTAAGCTCAGTATTTGAGCACAGGTGAAGTGATCCATGGTATATTAATAGTGTGCATACCACCTTCTCTGTCATAAAGGAGCTGGATATAAAAGGCAATTTTATACCTGAGGAATTTATCTTCTGAAAATATCTGGGGTTTTAAATTCAGCACTTTGTAATAGCTATTAGGAAAGTATAGTTGAATAGTCAAGTAGGTTTTAGAGACTATGTATTTAATCGTATTTTTGTTTGGGCTATCACACAGATTACACCTTGATCAAGATGCATCCTCAGATGCTGAATTTGTCCCACTATCGATTTCCTTCTCGAGGACAGAGTTATATTTCCATTCCCAGTGAAGCTTTTCATGAAAAAGGTAAGGGAAGGATTTAGAGGGAGAAGCAGAGTCATGTAAACAGGGTATCCAAAAATGATTTTGCCTGAAACAGGTTTTGGTTTGCTTTTATTTTCTCCATGTAACTGATCTGATTGCTGTTGATCATACTGGCTCTGAAGAAACAGCCTGTCATGTGAATAAATGATGATTAGTGTGGTAAAATTTCGTATTACTTGAATTAATCTTGAATAATACAGCTGGGCCACAGACCCTGAAGCTGTTTAATTTTGACATCTTTTTACAGCAGAGAAGCCTTAATTTAAAAAAAAATACTTTTTTCATTATCTGAACTGGTTATTTTTCAGAAATTCCAAGATGTCAGCCCAGGTATTTCTTACCCCTTCATGCAAAATCACTCTTAAAATGTTGTATGAGATTAAACTATAAAATGACAGGTTTAAGCAGCAGCAGCTACAGAAATAGAATGAAGATGTAAAGTACAGTCAAGGCAAAAAGCAGAACTCAAATCCATACCTAAGCTAAAATTTAATAATCTCAAAAGCAAGGTATGGCAGAAATCTGAAGCTTCAGTCAAGACCTTAAAATAACTATGAAGTTAATTATCTCTCTTTTAATCAGGGATTGAAGGAACCTGTTAACGAAAAACATCTACTTGCATCCTTAAATCTTTGAAAATCTGATTTATATGCCCTAAATTCCAAACCATGGAATTCAGACTGCAGAGACCTTTCTGCAGTTTCCTCTGTTGAAGGAAAGTTGGTTCCTATTCATAAAGTGCAAAGTCAGCTGCAGATAACCTGCAGTGAGAAATACTCTAATAATTACTGAACTGTCTACCTGATTTGTAATGACAGCTTTGTTTCTTTGCGCTGGCAGGGGGCTCTGGTTGAAGACTTCACTGCAAGTGCTTTGAGGCTGAGATAACTATAATTGCAAACCAACTTATAATGTCAAAAATAGCATGTGAGAGGACTTTTTTTTTCCTTTCCCACTTAAAGTTTCCTTCAGAACATAATCATGCTTGGTATCCTGAAATGAGCTAGCCCATTAAATTTTAACTCTTTCTCCCAGCTAAAGCTCACTTGTGAGTACTTTCAGCCCTCAGGCCACACTTCTGCACTGTCTGGATGAGCTAACCTAAAAATTTGTTATTCCACTTTAAACAGTTGACACTATAAATACTTGGAACCCAGCAAAAGGGATAGTAAAAGACGTCTGTGTGGCTGACACTTAGAAAATACGTGTCTGCCTCTTCACTCAGATGCTGGAGAACTCATAAATATTTGGAATGCAGGCAGCAAATAGATGACCGAAGTGGAAACTGGTCACCCATGTTTGAGTTCCATAAACTGGCAGTTAATGGAGGTGGTTGCAAAGTAGCTTTGAGGTTGCTGTAGCTATCACTGAGACATACTCTGCTGTGTCATGCGACCCTTTCTAGTGCTATGTGGGAATTTATAATTGACAACTGATTAACAGCTTATTTTTGAAGTACATTTGCACAGGACAGGTATCCTTCTATTTTGCTTTTGACATGTGTCCTGTGCTCTACGGCAAGATAGTAACACTTTTTCATTTGAAAGAATAATCAGAAATCTGCTAAAGCAAAGACATGAAAATCTACAGGAGTCAAGGCTCTTAACATGGAGTTTCAGGTCTAGGAGAGAAGTGTCTCTTGCTTAAACTATTGCTCTGAGCAATAACCCCTGTTCCCTTTTTCACAGCTTGGATTACCATTGTTGGCCTGCTTTACCATAATATGCATTATTTCTTTCATAGTATCAACCCTACGGATACCAAGTAAGTACCTCAGACCTCTCATGCTGTAACAGCTTGTTTATTACCTTACCGATACACCTTTATAACAGTCGTATCATTATCAACTGTAAATAAACTACGAGCCATAATCCTGATTCTGCAATACTGAGGACATGTAGTCATTAGCTGGAGAGAGATTAAAGCTTACATTAGATGTTTTGTTTTATGTTGTAATAAAATAGATTCGCATAGTGACATGTTTGTCTTTCTCTGTCTTCTCCTTCCATTCATCAGATCTGGTATGAGAACTTCATAATTTTAATCTGTCTCATAAAAGGAAATTACATCTTCTCTCCTGACGCATGTAAAGATATAACTTACACTTAAGTGAAACAAGCAAGAAAACATAATATCCCTCTTTAGATAAAATCTGAATACTAATCCTAGAAACCTGTAAGGTAATTTTATAACAGGAGACCAGGGAATGCTTTAAAGACCTTTTGTTTTATATTCTGCATCAATGAAATCATTAGCAGATAAAGTAAATGCAAAGCTATATACCTCTCAGCAATGCAGTTCCCCAGGGAATTTTGCAAGGCCATTCATGTAAATCATGGCACCTTCCTTTTAAGTTAGTATGACTTTGTTTTCCTTTGATCTCACTGGGGTATGTAGATTAGTTTATGCTTTCAGTCTTTTCCAGTCTCTGACTTTTTCTGTCTTATTTATGACAGTAGAAGGAAAGATGCAGCATCTTAGCTGTCAGGGATCACCTTCCTTTCTTTACATATAGTTACATGGAAGGTCATGATCACATGATTTAAGGGCAATTTTTATTTCTTTTGTGGTGGAAATCTAAAACCAGAACTCGGAGCTTTTGTGCTGTACAAACAGATGACTTCTATTTCCAGACTGCATGAATAGCAGTTTCCATGAGAAGTCAGTTTTGATTTTTAAAAAAAAAAAAAGAATCGCAATAAAGAGAAGGTTTTGAGTCCAGTTCAGCTCCTACACACACACACACTTTGTGTAAATCTGTAGGAATCCCACTGAAGGTAACTGAATGACAGCCTCACTGTGATCTAACATCCAAGGCCAAGGTGATGAAAGGCTTGTGTGTGCAAGCACGAAACACACTGTCTATTGTTTCTGCTAAAGTTCTTTCATGCTCCAAAATTCATCTAGTTCTCTACAGTTAAAACAGCAGGTAATGTGTGTGGAAAAAATGTTCGTCTTGTTAATCTGTGCAGGAGAAATCTCAGTGTTGGATAGTGGTCTCAACGTTGAGTCCTTCTATATCAACTTTCCAGTTTAAATTTGCAGTAGCACATTCTGCCCTCAAATGAACAAATACCATTCACATGCTGGTTACTGGGAGCAGAATTTCTGATACTGGTGTGTTTTTGTGGTCAGAACTAAGAACTGGTGCTTGGGGTTGTGCTGAACGAGTTCTGTTCTATTTGGCCTTGCTGAGGAACTGAATGAAGTTATTTTAATGTCTGACCTGACCACCTTTTTTCTATTTTTCTGAAAGAAAAGTAAGAAACCGTTGCAAAGTGGTGGCAGATGTAAATAAGGTGGTTTTTAATGTGCTTTGCAAACTGACTCTTCCCAGTGGTGTGCTATGTTTGGAAGCCAACACTAATGGTGAATTTGCTATGGCGCGTATTTCTCATAGTAAATACCATTCGTTCACATACTGAAGAGGTAGATGACAGTGACCATTTTACTTCTGCGGTTTGTTACTAATAGTGTAAAAAATTTTACCCTACAGCCAAATGGATCTTAGTTACTCCTAAATGTGCAAAAATGCCAAAGTTGTAAGTTTTAGGTGAAAGCAGAAATAAAAGGGTCCTTATGTACTGTAAAATTACTTTAGCCTAGAAAAAAAGCATTAACTGGATTAATCAGGTTTAGCTGTTTGTGTTGTGACCTGACTTACTGTCTAACAAACTGAACTGGACATAATTGATTTTTCAAAGTAAAGCTGTAAAATATTCCTAAATATGTTCCTATGTGTATATCTGTTATATATGAGTTTATCTGTCTTGCTAATATGTATGTTTAATTAGACAGCCTGAAGCACCTTCAAGTTTTCTCCTCACTTTGGTTGATTTGCTTAGGTTTTCCTTAGATCCCTTACTTAGGATTCTTTTTTATTATCTAAAGCACTTTCAGCAAGGCTTACAAACCTTTGCAAAAGAGGGGTAAAATGAAGGAATACAGCTTCAAGTGCTGTAATGTCTAAAGATGTTGCCTATACTTTGTAGCTGTTATTTCCAGTCCTGTAATATCTTTTCTTGCTGGAAATTCATTGACTTGAAAGGAAAAAGGAGGTCCTGTGCTAGTGGTTTTGTGGGTGAACTAGGAAAATGTGAGTTTTGTACTTCCTTAATATATTTATTTCTTCCCAAGGATTGCTGAAGCTGCTGCCTACAAAGGTTATATGATCTCAGCAGCAAGTTACCTTATCTCTGTCAAAGTGGAACCTCTACCAAAGCTGTCCCACAGTCTGTCAGGATCTCCTCTTATTACCATCCAGCTCACCCACAAATTGGTAAGTGAAATGGTACCACATTTTTAGTAGCAATTCATATGGCATTTGTGACTACAATATTATGTTTTCCCAACCATTACACTACAATGACTTCAGTTTCCATCACTGCACAAGGCTGACTAGTGCACTTGTTGAAAAAGGTGAAGTGACAGATAGAGCTTTTGGCCTTTCTATATGTATTGTTCTAAGGATGTGTTTGTGCAGGCTACAGTAGGATGGTATAAATTACTGCTTTCACATTACGTCTGTCAAAATCAAGAATTCGTTTATGGATTTTGCTTTTGGTATTAATCCAGAGATAACGGAATATTCTCATTAATAAACCCAGAGAAGGGTCTCCTCCAAGGGTAGACACAAGTTTGATATGGGCAGAGGATCTCCTGGAGTAGCAGTGGAGCAGGTTCAAATTCCTATTCTAGTGTGAACTGCCCTTTCTAGAGAGCAGAGCATTCTGAATCTGAGAAACAAGAGACAAGAAATACAGGAATCTAAAAAAACCTGGAGGCAAGTTATATTCAAACTGATCAATTTCTATAAGACATTTCAATTTCACCAAATTAGCATATTCCGGTAAGAAATTTTAAAAACTGCTGATTTTGAGTTGCTCTTGGAGAAGAAGGCACCTCTTGGTCTTGCCAGTGGAGTGGTGAATAGTTGTGTGCAGACTCTCAGGTGCTGGCATGAGGCATACAGCATCTATGACCTACTTACAGTATTGAAGGGAAATGGAAAAGAAAGATTTCGATTCAAAAATGTTTCATAGAAAACATCTCTTCTATGTTCTTCCAAATATTTTATCGTATTTTTCTCTCAGTGGCTGTTCTCAAGCCAGTTTATCTTCTTCCTGTTAGGTTTCTGATAAAGACGGAGTAGGCTTCAGAAAACAAATACATGAGAAAACCCAAAGGCATAGAAATGTGTTGTTTTGCTGACAATTTAATAAAGTAAAGACTCTCCTGAATGTCCCCAGTGGCCTCGTAGAGGCGGGTGCTTGGAAGGAAAGATTATTTTGTGTAGATCATTTATAAAATGTACTTTATTTATTCAGGTACCTCCTCATGCTTTAGTATGATTACTTAGATGGCTGTTAAACAAACCTGTGTTGTTTTTTTTTGGGTGTGTTTGTTTTCTTTATGCCTGTTGGCTTTCACTGTGAAGATCACAGGGATCTTGGTATACAGGCAGAAATCTTACATTTATCCGCTGCCTTAGTTTTAGTCTGTAGAATCCATGAGAATGTGGTATGAACATGTCTAATGTATCTTGTTTATAACAGATACAGGTTGTCTGGGAGTTTCAGACTCTACCTATGGCAGTATGTGCTTTATACAGTGCATTAGGGGAGTGGCTGTTTTCTCTTACAGAGCTCTTACTGCTATATGTCAATGTGTTCATGGGCAGCCATCCATTATCTACTGTACTATTTCTACGGCTATGTCCATTTTGAGGAATGTTCTGTTCTTACTAGTCTTGTTAACGCCTGTTCAGGTGTGATTCAGCTTTGGTCAGTGGTGGTTTTCTGTGTGTCTGTGTGTGGTTTTTAAATTGTATTTTATGTTTTAAAATCGTTGTGGGAAATCGGGGAAACTTATCCCATTGTGTTAACAGCACTGAAAAAGTAGCTTAGTGCTGTCCGAAATCAGTCTATAAATACATTTGTATTTGAAGTTCTGAGGGTTTTCATTATAAGGAGGGAAGTATTTCTAAATGTGTCGTGAGCATGATCTTAATCTCTCTTCAATAAACTGTATGGGGATAACAACTGTGCTAGATTTTGCTCTTAGGCATACAGCCCTGAAAGGAGATGGATAAAGCACAGAAGGTACCCCCCTCTGAAGGGCAGGGAACTCTTCACCCGCTTACTCCCTCCAGTAGTAATCTGTCACTGGCTTTTATATCTTACTAACTGGCAACAAGCTGTTACTTGGACGAGAAAACATAGGTCCTTTCTGTCATGCTACGTATTATTTCACTTTCTGAAGTGGATTCATTCAGTTGAGTATGATTGCTCATGAAATTATAGAGTTTAAAATGTAAGAGACATTCAGGCTTCAAGATCGCTGTGTTAAAGCATGTACTCTAAAGTGAAGAGTGACAGTCAAGCTATTTATGTTAAGTTTATGATGGAATGTAATGATTAAAGCAAGAGCATAAAATCTGGCTTAGAAACCTGTTCCATCCATTAAAATACTGCTTGTTTGCTTGTACTAATGAGAGAAGCATTTGAAGTGGATGCTGATCTCATTCTTATAGTTTGTTCCACATAATGTTCTCAGAGGAAAATGTAGCAAGAAAAAGTAAAAAATAACAAGTCCAAACAAATAGGTTGTCTCTATTTAAATTTGCATCTGACTTATTTCAATTGATCAGATAAAGTTATAGCTACTCCGATGGCATCTGCTGGATTTCACAAGTATGAAAACGCGAGGAGTAAAAGGAGAATAATGTGGCCTCTTGTAGTGGTTGTAGTGATGCTTGGCCCATCTTAACATCTTAATTCTTTTTCTTCTAGTGTGCATAGGAAAAATGCCAGTCGTTAAGTATCAGAAAACAAAAAAGAGTGAAATAAAACATGTCTGTTTTAGGAAACAGTTATAAAGAGAATGTCTGTGAACCGAGAATCACCTCTTAAATCAAAACTTCACAGAGCATTTATCATTCCACAGCCTGACTGTTAGTTAAATATCCCCTTACGCAAGGATTCTCTAGGGTTCTCTGAAGTGGTCTGCATTTTTTACGTAGGTTTTGGGAGCTTGAGGTGATTAAATTCCTCTTTCTGTTTGAAACATGAAGCAATAGAAACTGATACTAAGACTGCAGGAGTATTTATAAATGGCATGATAATGCTTCCTTTTCCAGGAATCACCATCGGGCAGTGGGCAGAGTACACAGAAGAGAAGGGTGCCCAGGTGGTGGAACAGGCTGGAGGTTAAACTGGAGCTGGGAAGTCTCCTCACAGTTAATACATACACTATTGCTTTCGTGGGTACATAGACTAGGCAGACCAGAGGCTCCCCTCCATTGGAGGGGATGTAAAAAGAGGACATTAGTAATTACAGCCATTAGGCTTTGATGTTCAGGCTTGAAGCTGAATTCTTCTGGGACTAATTCTTTCTACTAACAGAATAGGCAGAAAATCTTCTAGTCCAGCTTCTATTAGTGGAAAATGGCTTTCTGACTTAAAATAGAAACTCTTGTGAGTCAGGATGAAAAAGGCATCCAATTTTTTTCACAGGATAAAAATATTACTTATTCTTCTTATGAAGTAAAGACTCCCTGTGGGTAGGACAGACATATAGATTTTGCTTCTTATAGTTCTGTTTTTAATTGTCACTATTCTAACAACAGTTTACTCTGCATGATATCTGAAACTGGTTTTTCTGTTACTCTTTTTTTCTTATGAGAATATTAACAGCTTTAGATGCATTGTTTTGCAAGAAAACTGCATCAAGGATTTAAAATAATGTCTTTGCATAAGAACATAAAGTGATTAAGTGTTTCATTCTTTCTGCCATTCTGAGGAATGCTTATCCGCTCTCTCTATTCACAGTGTCCACTATTGTAATACAGTAACATAGCTGGGGATGAAAAGAAATTACCATTTTCTTTCTCTGGAGATACAAGATAGCTTTCCATGTGATATTAGGGTATCGAGGGCCTTTTTGCTTGAGACTTCATTTACGTTCATACATCTTCTTAGTGACTGTCCCTTCCTTCGCACCGCTTTGGGTACAAGATAAAGATGAGAGAGAACCCATAGTACTTTGTGACACTGTAGACTCAGATCTCTTGTTGTCACTCTGTTAAGCTATTTTATGAATAATGGGATTTAAAATATCATTGAATATTTAATACTGTTGGTTCAGTGGTAGTCACAATAGTCTTGCCAGTCAACATACGCGTGTGCAGAGAATGGGAACCTTGCTCTGTGTGTATAGATACTGTTTTCTTTCTATAATTACCTGAAAAACTAACAGATAAAGGCTGTGATGCAAGAAAGTTATGTTCATTGACAGCTACTATTGCAGGTAACTGCAGCATATTCTGTATGAACACACATTTTCCTCTAAACTTACCAGCTCCCTCAATACACCTGCTGATTGGGTCAGGTTGTGGTATGGCGTAGTCTCTGTTCTATAGATTGGAACACTTCCAGCCCATCAAGGAGGATCAGAGTGAGAACAAGGGAAATAGTAGGAGGATCAACAGCGGTAGCTGTTGTTCGTCTTTAGCCAATGTGTGTTATGGCTGAAAATGTGAATTCCTCAAAACTGTGAAGATGTCAAGTTACGTTGAAGATGCATTTTTTTGAATTGTATTCATTCTAATATAAACATCTATCAGCAAAAGTTTGTCTGAACTAAAGCCTTCTAATAGACAAAAGTTGATACACTAAGTTACAATAGTCAGTTGTTTGGAACATTTTGGTGAAAGATGGACTTTTTTCGTCTGATCTTTAAAATTATGATGCTCTGCTCTTCAGCACCTTAACTGGTTTCTTTGTTGCCAAAGACAGTAGTTCATCCAACACCTTCAGTGTGTGTGGGATGATGTGAAGACTGATGATAGTTTGCAGCTGGAGAAAGCTTAATCTCAACCTTTCCAGATGTTCTGTAATGAAGCAACAGTACATTTTGTAAAACGATTATCCTCAAAAATTTCTGTTTCTAGCAAGATGTTTTTCATAGCAGGAGCAGCCAGAGAAGAACTAACATTTCACTTGTATGATCCAAGAAATTCCAGCACAGGGTAGAAATTTAGAGAAGATGAATGTCAAGGCTGAAATGCAAACACAACATACTCTGGCAAGTGTCAGAAGAGGCAACAGAGGGAGAAATGGTGTAACTGCTGACTGTTGCATATTGTGAGAGGGCCTCGTGTGAAGAGTAGATGCAGATTGGAAATTCTTAATGTAGCTGGTTTCCCCCAGATATAGTCAAGATAAGTGCCACCTGAAAGACTTGTTTGATTCTGGGGAAAAAAGAAGTGCTTTCCTAAGT